CCCCCCCCCCCCCCCTGTTTAGGGTCAACAAGCTTGGCACTGCTACATGAGAGGTCTCATATCATCATTGTTTTTACGTGACTGCCTTCCCATTAATTGTCATCATTAAAACTGTCAATCTGTATTAGCAAAAGATGCCCTTATATTTCGTAAACGTATAGTCCCTTAATACGAGTTCAAACAATAATTAACTACTTAAAGCCCAGTGGTAATTATATTGACCACCTATTTTAAGATTAAATAATTCTCCACTTTGCGCACGCTGTATTCAGATATTTCGTCTGATTCTCAGTGTAAACAGCGATTATTTCCTTAAACAGCGTTAACCAGTTGATCTTTGTAATGGTGAAGTGTTGTGTTTTCTTCGCGGTACGGGCTGGTTTTTAAACTATTATTTAGAAGAACTACGGACTTTAGTGAGTTAACATTTTGAAAGATCGATTTTTACACCGATATAAAACAAGAGGTAAAATATAGTTTTGTGCATCCAGTATTCATGTTTATAGAGAGTCGTCTACAATGGAAGATAAAAGATTCCGTGACTTATTCAGACCCGGAACGCGACAGGTCACGAATAGTGAGAATCGATGTGTCTTGTTCGAAGTGTTGGTGTCGAAATGCTGAAATGAAGTATGAAAATTTGACAGTACAGAAGTCAAACAAGTATAAATAGCTGAACACACGATACATTTCCATCGCTGGAGGGTGCAGAACAAGAAGGCAGTGGACGAACAGGGAGGGGAACCCCTGGGCCGATACACAACTCTGTCAGCAGGGGGCCCTAGCAGCTGGCTGTCCGCACCCTCGCAGAGATGATCGCAACTCTTCTTATAAGGATTATGCTCTTTGGCCTTTGTCTATTCGGTGTTAATTCTGAGACAATGAATACATTACTGCTTTACGGACGTGACGTCATGGGGGTTAAATTTGAGCCCCATTGGGGTAAGCCATGTCGGAGCACTAACTAATACATTCCTCGTAACAGAATCGCCCTTCAAACGCTAAAAGTCGCCCAGGTAGTCAAATTATTAGGTTTTGTACAATCCAAGGCTTCACAAGAGACCATTAGGCAACTGATAGTATAACTCTAGGACCTATAGACCTCATGTAACATATCCAGTTGAAATATTGTTATTAAATAGCCATAGGACCCGATGCTCTGAAAGTGCTTCGTTGCTGTGTTTGCTTCTGAAGTGCGGACTGTGATCGATTGTTTGTGCTCTCTCGATGTCTGGTCGTTGTGCGCTAGTCACTCGCTGTCAGATGAAAAGCTTTTCTGCGAGCAAATAATATAAGCCAGGGGGAAGTTTCCAGCAAAATGAAAAATGCTTTGTGATTGGCAGGGAACAGCATTCATCATTGGCTGAAGCTGGCTTCTAGAAGTCTATTTGTATTCCATTAATCAATGCGCACTCAGCTGATGAGGTCTCTCCTTTTGTGCGTTCAAAATTGGACGTTTGATTTTTATACGACGTTTCTGTCATGAGTTACCGACGTAGTTCAGTCGGTAAAGTGAGTGGTGGTTAATGCCTGCGATGACAGGGATTTGACTGTCGGCTGTAGCGTGTCACCAAACCGATTCTGGGGTTCACCCAATTTCCCATCTGATAGGTAACAGCTCCAGAAGGAGCCCACTTCATGACACTTAACATGATATTAATATAAATTGAATGAACTATGTTTTTTATAGTGATTAGCGATGTCCTGGATTTGAAATTTCTTCCGGGTAACTTATCCTGGGGATATTTGTGGTCGGGATTTTCCTCAGTGCCTTCAAGAGAATTCTGGCATGGCAGAGTCTGCTTTAAGATCGTCCACGATCGTTTCCTTCAGCATAATTCCAACTCATAATTCAATAGTAATCACATTGTGACAAATTCGGTACTGTACACATAGACGTAAGTAATTTACAAAGCGTCGTTAAATATACAACAGGTGTTAAACGGATTAATTTAAAGAGATAATTGACTGGCTTTTAAGAGGACGGTCGTATTTCGATTCTCGGCGGGAGC